GAAACGTTTGGACGCCGCGACGCGCTACGACAAAATCAGAGAATCCATATGGGCTGCTACTCGTCGCAGAACACTGGGTGGTATATAGAATAACATTAATTGCTTTAATATTATGTTTTAGTAATTAAGTCGACAAAATACATAAACAACTAATTTTTTGGCAGTTCTGCAACTCTGCAGCACCTGTACAACAGCCGAGACAGACCTACTTACACATATTATTATTTTCCCGCACAGCAACCTATCTCTGCTTGGTAGTATATGTGCGTGAGTGTAGTATTTTATGTCAGTAAATGAAACAGTAAAACCCAAAATTTTATATACCTAGGAAAAAGAGTGGTGGGGGTTTCCGAAGCGGTGCGCATAGCTGTCTCTTACGGACTTGTTCAGTAACGTATGGATGCCGCGACGTGCTACACCAAAAGCATTTGGGCTGCTACTCGTCACAGAGCACTGGATGGTATTTAGAATACAGATATGTTAGATAATAATAATTGTTTTAGAAATTAAGTCGCAAAGATACATAAACATCTAATTTTCTGGCAGTTCTACAACTCTGCAGCACCTGTACAACAGCCGAGACAGACCTACTTACACATATTATCATTTTTTGTTATTATCGCTATTATGCAACAATTTTCCATACAATAACCTATCTCTGCTTGGTGGTGTATGTGCGTGTGTAAACGTAAAGCATGTGTTACGATAAAAAGACACCCATTTATTTTCTTTAGGTGCACTAACCGTATCCGAATTCTACGGAAATTGTTATTGTTAGGAAATAGGTGCAGTAATAACACAACGTGGAATTATTAGGTAGATGGTTATTGGTAAAAGGGGCGTTGATGAAAAGGATATTTGCGAAAACCAATGTGAATTACGAAATCAGTGCATGTAATGGTCAATAAACTGTTCGGAAAACGATGCTTCAACCGTGTATAATTGTACACAAAAGGGGTCCTTGAAGAAACAGGTTGCTAATTGTTAGAACCATTTGATTCCTTGAGATATAATTTTATAACTTTTAAATGTTAAAAGCATCATCCTTTATGGTCTACTGCGCCTTCAATGCAAATAATCTTACTGTAAAATTTTATGAATCGATTCTTAAAAGATTTTAAATCATTTTCTTTTTTATTTTTCAATCTGATTCGAAATTGACTGTATTTAATTCCATCATCAGAAATCGTCACCCGGAAGACGCACTTCCACTCATTTCTCTATCCCAAAAATATCAGTTCCCAAAGAACTTCTCATATTTATATATATTTTTGAACGGTAATCTAATCAAAGTCTTTCTGTGCCTCTCATTACACCGATTTCTACTTCTACTACGTTTCTAACTGGTCCTTTATGTCTCTGAAGAAACCCTTACATCATATCTCGCATTTTTTTTACTGAATTGCGTAGTACAGTATAATGATTCTATACAGTTGGTTCACTTGCCACTTCCGTCCTCGTATATGGCAGTTCAGTGTACATAAAGTTAATTTATGATAGCCTACAAACAATGTCGATATGTCAGACAAATCAAAGAAGTGAACCTGCTGTACATAATCTTTATACTATATCCGTAGTCTCTCCTATTCTCTAAAGATCGGGGCACATACGTCGGAATCGAACGGACGGCATGCAGCAAACGCATTATGGCATCGCCTCAACGAACATACGAGGGTGGATTGATAAGTTTCCGGCCTAACCAAGAGATGACGCCACTAGGCCTACCTTGAGGTGACATTCTATAGTACCATCCTTGGATAGCTTGTAGCTATAGTTTCAGCCCGATCTCCTTGCTAGTGTAGGTTTGACAGCACGCTGAACAAGACGCCTCTGTGGTTTTCGTAAAAATGGAAAAGCAGGAAAATCGTGCTGTCATCAAATACTTTTATTTGAAGGGGTTAACGCCGAAGGAAATTAAAAAAGAGATGGACTCAACACTGGGGACATCCTCCCCGTCATATTCAACCGTTAAGCAGTGGGTTTCCGAGTTTAAAAAGGGTCGTGTGAGCACCTCTGATGGGCCTCGCTCAGGACGCCCCGTTGAGGTCACAACTCCAGATATGATCGAAAAAATTCATCAAATAGTGCTGGGAGACCGCAGATTGAAAGTGCGTGAGATAGCTGAGACCTGTAAGATGTCATATGAACGTGTGCAACATATTTTGCACCAACATTTGCATATGGAAAAGCTCTGTGCAAGATGGGTGCCGCGTTTGCTAACAGTCGACCAAAAATTGATTCGAAAAAACATTTCTACCGCAAATTTGTCATTGTATAAGCGTAATCCAAGCGAATTTTTGCGTCGATTCGTAACCGTTGACGAAACGTGGGTCCACCACTACACTCCTGAAACCAAAGAACAGTCTAAACAGTGGATTGGACCAGGGGAACCAACTCCAAAGAAGGCAAAAACAATTTTTTCGGCGAACAAGGTTATGGCTACTGTTTTTTGGGATGCAAGAGGTATTATATACATTGATTACCTTGCAAAGGGTAATACTATCACTGGTCAATACTACGCAGACTTATTGCAACGTTTGAGCCACGAGGTGAAAATTAAACGACCTCATCTGGCGAAGAAAAAAATCTTGTTTCATCACGATAACGCACCAGCGCACACGTCAATCGTTGCGACGGCTAAAATCAACGATCTAAAGTTTGAATTGATGCCGCACCCTCCTTACTCTCCAGACCTAGCCCCGAGTGACTATTTTCTGTTCCCTAATCTCAAAAAATGGCTTGGCGGTAAGAGATTTGCGGACAATGAAGAAGTAATCGAAGCTGTAAATGGTTATTTTGAGGAGCTTGACGAATCAGTCTATAGAGATGGCATTAATAGACTGGAACACCGCTATGAGAAATGTATCAGCCTTGGAGGAGATTATGTTGAGAAATAAAAAAAAAAAATTTTTAAAAACCTTGTTTTTCTTGGTCAGGCCGGAAACTTATCAATCCACCCTCGTATTTATATCGAAATCGACTCGAGGAAAGTTAGCTTATTATTGTCAATTATGTATAAAAGTACTCTTTCTAATGCATCCTCATTTCTAACCCCTTCTATTCACAGTATTTTTTATTAGTCACCACATGGTATTACTAAAAGTTATGAGCCATCCAGTTGAAAAATTCAATTTACAACAATATCAGTTTCTGGGTGCCTGCCTGTATTCCACTAATCATTGTGCGTATAGAAAAAAGCAGTTACATAATAATTTCTTCTCGATAATAAGACTTAACTAATGACGCAGCTCAAGATTCTTGATTAATTAAAAATTATGCCGCAATTAAATTGCGATGCATCGCAGACAAATCGATTGAATACATTTAAGCAGTTACCTTACGCAATCTCATTGCAAACATTGTTTTTGTACGCGAGCAACCTGTACATAACCAAATGTTTTGCAGCAGACTCGGCATTCACTTATTTAATCAATTAGAATACAATTAGAAACACCTGTCGATATTTCTGCAATATTTATGCTGTACAAATGTCTTGTTCAACGTCTTAGTCTCAGGGAGACATCAGGCCTGCACAGCAAATAAAAAACTGTATTAAATATAAATTGAAAGTTTTATTCAACGTTATTACTTCGTCGGTCGACTATTTCACAAAATTAATACTTTCTGTAGTATGAATAGACCATGTCGACTTCTGAGAGATGAATTTTCGCATTTTCCTACATCCTTACAACACGTTTCCACAAGAAAATAAGGCAGATTGTACACGAATCCTATACTGAAGTCCGAACGACGTCAGTCGTACAAAGATTGGACACGTATCAAGAACTGTGATAGCATCTATTGTTACCAATCTACATTATATGGTACGAATAACTCAATTTGGTTGGCCGATTTATGTTATTTTAGATCGAGCGGCATGGCCTAGCGGTTTAGACCATTGCTTAGCATTCTGGAGGACGTCGGTTCGATTCCGGGTTCGTCTGCCTTGGTCCAAGAGTTTTTGTGGTTTCCTTGGATCACTAAGGCAAATGCTAGGGCAGTAATACTCCACAGATAATCTCTCATTCTCTTCTGTTTTCATTTCGTTCGTTTCGTCTTTCTCACCCGAACCACCACCTACCCATTCCCACGATTCCTGAAAGAGGGCCTTCTGCCCTACCTTCCGGCGTAGTCCAGAGGTACTGCCCGCCCACCAGCATTAGTGGCTGACATTTTAGTGGATGCATCAATTACGATCAGATCCAGATCAGTCAGCTTCAGTTACCGTATCAACCGCTCAACCACAGTGTGATCGTCTCCGTGGTCAATCAGTCTTAGCTGTTGTTTAAAGTGCATTTAAAATCGTACCCGTAGATTTTGTTATGTCATATTTAAAAGTTTGTCAACACTTATTTTATAAAGTAATCAAGCCTAGCTGATTTTTAATAGGACGGGTGGTATTATTTAGTCTTTTCGACATTAAAATCAAACATTATTGAATTCCTTTCTCAGTTTAACAACGATAGGCACGTGTCCTTGTGTCCTTTATTACCAGCGACTTGTGTTATGCTGTAACATTTAGTAACATCGTGGGGGGTCATTTTAAAAACGTAAAGGTGTTTTCCATACTTATTCTGGGTTCATCCTACAACTGACATCGATAAATCTTTTGTGTAAAATCGACTGCATGGAGAAGCTATAATGAAGTTATTACTAGAACCCATTTACAATTCAACGAAATATTATTTATTTATACGTGGGTAGGTATGTGGGTGGTACGAAGAGATGAAATTATACTTTTACACAACAAATACGTGTTGCAACAAAGTTTTAATTCAAATTGTCGGCTTTGTACCCTTCTGTCTGTACGTAAATGAGGTTGCAAAATGTTCATCATTGAACACCTACGATAGAGGGCATTGAAGAGTGTATTTGGCTGAATAAGCGCTTTACACAAAACAGTGCTAAGTATTTCACGGACTTGTATTCGCAATCTGTATCTAAATTCAAATTCTTTTGTTTCGTTTATATGGAAATACATCAAAACTCGTAATACGTACCTGGGCCATTTTATAATTGAATTGAGATGACTGGACAAAATTACAATTCATTCAAATTTGAATTTACATGTGCTTAGGTACTTATTAAATGTGATGTTTTGTAGATGTAGATTAAAGATAAATGAATTGCAAAAAATGCGTTATACTATGTTTCTTACGTTAAATATACAGTAATCGTAAAAAAAAGGAAAAAAATATAATATTACCCGCTTCTTTAGAAGATCTTATTACATCTAATTCGCGAAAATGTTATTGCAGGAACGTATTACTTTACGTAACGTTCGAGAAAGCATTGCCCTAACATGTTATCTATGAGTGTACTAAGTAAAATTGAAGCATCTGTCTGCAGTATCATAATAGTCGCCATTTTTAGGCTCATATGCTGTATAAACCAATGAACCCACTTCTATGCGGCTTTATTATACTTTATAAACCTGAAGAGGTTATCTGAAGTGATCTAAAGGTGCGCGCACATACATCAGAATCGTACGTACGGCACCCAGCGGACCTACGTCGGGTTCGTCTGGAAATTAGCTTATTAATAGTATCAGGCGTCTATAAAAATACTGATGGAAAATGGAAAAAGATATTAAAAAGTAACAGATTCCCTATCGTACCGTTCCGATCCGACCGGTCCGAGTTAATTCAGTGTGAGACCTGCCTTAGGGTACCTACTTATTGTTCGCAACAGTTGTGTTTAGGTATTATATCCCAAGATTCACAGACGAACTTGATGTAAAAGCTATAGTTTTGTTTTACAAAAATTAATTGGCAAATGTTGTTGTTGTTGGTAATTATTGTGGATTTTTCCTAGTATAACCTAAAATCTGCTGCTACTCAATAGACAATTGTAACGTTTGGGATTTTACTAAAATTAAACAGCTAATTGGTGGGCTAGATTATAAATTTTGATAAATGTTAACTTAGACTGTGAAAGCACTTGACAAGAACGTCCAAGTAAAACCTGTTATAGTCAATCGTGGGATTAACAAATAATTTACTGAAAATTTAAAAATAAACGAGGTGCGGCACAACTATTAGTTTTGGCGGCTGCCAGTTATCAACAAGATTAATAAATTTTCAGAAACGGTACAATATGCGACATCTGGTGAGATTTAAGAGACTTTAGAATTATTTCTGCTATTGAAACTTTTACTGTATTTAGCATACAAGCGGAAGTAATTTGAGTTTTTTTTTCGTAATAGAGGATGTAATAAGTGAGTTTGTGCAAAACAATAATGAAAATTGTTTAACAAGTGTATGCATGATAACATTACATAAATAAAAAGGATTCAAAATATTTGCTTTGTAATTAGCTTGTTTTCGTACGCACACGTATTTTTTCACATATCTATTCAAATGAATCTCTATTAGACGCTATGTAAATATGTAAATTGTAAAAGTTAAAGTGAATGTAATAAAAGAAATGTGTCTACGTACCTACATACCTAGGTACATTTATACGTTTTTGAAAGTAAAAATATTATTTGCTAAAGAATTGAATTGAACATCAGCCCACGTTTACGTTATCGTTTTACGTTAGTTACGCCTTCTTTGCTCGGAGATGTTATCTAAATGAGACAAATTAGTTATTTACAAATGAAATTACAACACGCTTTTTTATTTTATTACTATTGCTGTAGGTGTTTAAGTACTGCTAGTTTTGAATTTTAGAGTATCAAATTTTCATTCGTCTGTTTTAAATGTCATTAGGTACACTAATACTATTGGGTTGTTCGGAAAGTCATTTCGTATTTTTTTTTGTGGAAATGAAAGACAGTTTTCGTATAATAAACAAATACTTTATTTAATTATATATTGACCGTTCTGGTCCAACACCTTTTGCCATTTTTCTGGTAGTAGCATAATTCCACTCTCATAAAATTTTTGGTCTTTGCTGGCAAAAAACTGATCGAGGAGGTTTTGCACCTCCTCATTTGAGGTGAAGGTTTTACCGTCTAAAAAATTTTGGAGTGACCGGAACAAATAATAATCCGATGGTGCCAGGTCTGGAGAATATGGTGGGTGTAGCATTGTATCCCATTCAAGCTGTAAAAGCTTTTGGCGAGTGACCAAACTTGTGTGAGGTCTCGCGTTGTCTTGGTGAAACACTACACCTTTCCTGTTGATTAGTTCTGACCTTTTCTGTTGAAGTGCATCATTCAGTTTGTCCAGCTGATGACAGTAGACTTCCGAATTAATCGTTGTGTTATCCGGTAAAAGCTCAAAAAAAACGATTCCTTTAAAATCCCACCAAACAGACAGCATCACCTTTTTTTGGTGAATATCGGCTTTGGAAATGGTTTGAGCCGGTTCATCTTTTTTGCTCCATGACCTCTTGCGTTTGACGTTGTTGTATACAACCCATTTTTCGTCCCCAGTGATGATGCGCTTCAAAAACGGATCATTTTCGTGACGTTTGAGAAGCGAATCGCAGACGTCAATGCGGCGACACAGATTTCTCTCTGTGAGAACATGGGGAACCCATACATCGAGCTTCGAGGATAATCCCAGGCCTTTCAAGTGGTCATAAACTGTTGAATTTGATAAATTTAACCTCAATCCGATCTCACGTGTTGTTATTCGCCGGTTCACATCAACTAATGCCTTTATCGCGTCTTTATCAGCTTCAACCGGCCTTCCCGAACGTGGTGCATCTTCGACATCAAAATTGCCGGATCGAAATTTAGCGAACCAGTTCTGGCACTGGCGTACTGTCAACACACCTTCTCCATACACATCAGTCAATTTCTTTCTGGCTTGAACAGCATTTTTACCCTTTCTGTAGTAAAACAGTAAGATATGTCGAAAATGCTGCTTATCGCTCTCCATATTTAAAAGGGCACCAACCAAAAACTACTGCGTAGAATTAATTGGAATTTTTCACACACAAGCCGTGCTATATGAGCTCTCAAAGCATATAAAAATTATACGGCTTAAATGTGAAGTTGGGTGCAAAAGAATACAATTAAATCCTCTGTCGGGAAAAAACGAAATGACTTTCCGAACAACCCTATACAAACACTTTTTAACGACAGCAATTACAACCTATATATCTGAATCGTAACATATTTCGATGCAACAATTTTAAATAGACGATTACATAGATAAATAATAGACCTAAAAAAATTTTATCAAATGAATTATTAACAATTATTTACACATATCACTGTCACTGTTTACTTTTCCATTCGGACTTTATTTATATCAACAGTATTTTATAGACCATTTACTGTTGACTACTTGTTACTTTTTATACAGTTATCGAACACTTGCGACTGTTTCCGGAAGCTTCGCGTAAGTTCCTCTTGACAAACGACCTAGCACTCTTGCATATGTCGCGTCCTGCATCAAAAGTGCCGCCGGTATCGATCGTCACCTGTGGCATTCGTTCACAAGAAATCTTATTTCCCTTCAGTCGTATGTCACCCTTCCCATTTCCACAGAAAACAATATAAAAATTTGAATGTAGGATTTGATAAGTCATTCCAATCAAAAACATTTTAAACACACTGAAACAATTTTTGCTCAATTTAGTTGAAACTAATGAACGTCAATCGAACCCTATCATGTGTACTTCCTACGCGATCTGGATTTATTAAAAAAATTATAATGTTGTGTGTTTCCTCGTTTTCTTGAGTCAACAGAAACCACATAGCTGTATCCTTGACGAAATTTAATAACAAAGTGAAAAACTTTCTACAAAACAGTGAAGGTAATCGCTATTTCATTCACATAATATGTAGGTACATATCAAAAGTTGATATTTTGTAAAAATGGAATTTCTTCCGCGTTTGAAAGTACATTTTATTACCCAATCTAATTTAGATTTCTCAATTAGGCAAAAATCATGAGGTTTTGGCCCGCTTTGAAAATAATTGCAAAGGAACTAACTGAAATCGATATACCAAGAACAAGCAATGAAACAGCTCGACCGTAACAATTATGTATAATTTTTGTAGTGGTATTGTTTATTCGCAAGCTTGAAGAATTTAATTCAATTGTTTCTACTTTGTTAATGCGATCAACAACTGCAAAAAAAAAAGAATTGTACTTTCGCTATCCATCGTTGTTTAGAAATTACGATAAAATTAAAAATTGTAATGCTGCATATAAATCATACTTTTGAGAGACCTAACGTGTTTTAATATCGGTAGATGATAATCGAAAGTGTATTGTTTGTATATGTTAATTTCCTCTTTTAAAACTAATTAGTAATGTTATACATTGACCAGATAATTAGAAAAACACAACTAGAAACGTAATATTATTTCTACACATAAAACATTTTTAAATAAAAATTGCAATGCTTACAATAATTAGTTACAAGCACCCAATTGGTATTGTAAGCTAACCATATATACAGGGTGTCCCATAACAGAGTAAATCTATAGTTTGATTAGAAGAAACTTAACTACAAAGAAATGTCTTGCATGGTGTCATTAAACATTAGAGTGGATACTTACCATTTTCTTATATTTTTCAATTAGTCCTTCCTTATCTTTTCTCTAAATAAGTATTAGCTGCAAAAGGTGAATTCAACAATTACAACTAATAACACTAAAACAGAGATTTTTAGGTAGTAGTTTTAACGGAATACTGTAAATGTTTTTTATTGTATCCAATATTGAGAGAAATAGTGTTATAATTGAACCCCCTGTATATTTAGCATTTTTTATTCCATGAGAGATACAAAATACTAACGGATACTTGGTAATAATACACAATATTAGAAAGCAATTACTTTTGTGAGTAATTTGGTTTATTGCATTCTCCGAATTTAAAACAATTGTAGTCTCAATCTCGTCAAGATTGACTTGTTAATTGCTTTGAGTGGTTAGTTTTAATTAAAGTGTAGGATACGATCTTCCATAACACTTTTCTATTAACGACTTCTTTTAAGATCGAAGCTAAGTACTTGTACTATATTAGAACGATACACAAATGACAGGTAGTTAATATAGATCAATCAATGTTCAATTCATCTATCGTGATGAAGCAATTTTAAC